GGGAAGGAGGACACGGGGCAGCGTGTCCCGTTGTGCGGCCGCGGGAAGGAGGACACGGGGCAGCGTGTCCCGTCGTGCGGCCGTGGGAAGGAGGACACGGGGCAGCGCGTCCCTCCGGCCAGCCCCGCACCCCCGTCCCCGTACGGGTGCTGGAGGCGGCTCCCTGGACGCTGCCGTGGCCAGGATCTGCAGCGAGCTGTCCCTGGCAGGAGCTGCCCCTGGCAGGAGCTGTCGCTCCGCATGCCCACCCGCTCCCACCCTCCCTCCCTGCTCGCTGCGGCCACGTTTCTCGGCTCGCCCGGAGCCGCCCGAACGGGCTCTCTCCGCGCTGCTCCTCCTCACTCCCTGCGGGTGCTGCAGGACGGGGGACACCCGCTCCCCGCGACGCCGTCCCCACAGCCCCCGCACACCCGCAGCCCGCGGGGAGCAGCAGGGCGGGCGCCGTGTCCCCAGGCGCACGCGTGGGGGCCGCTCGCCGGGCCCCAGGGCGCGGAGCTCCCACCCAGCAGCGCCGCCCGAGGCCCCGCAGCCTCCGAGGCGGCTCCCCCGCCACGGCCGTGGCCACGGCCACGGACAGGGACGCGCAGGGCCCCGCACTCACCCTGCAGGGCGCAGCCGGCCGCCAGGCAGAGCGCCACGGTGCCCACGAGCGCGGCGCGGCAGCCCCGCAGCGGCCTCATGCRCGGCGCGCCGGGCCCCGCGGGGCCGCACGCCGGGCCTCCTCCTCCTCCTCTTCCTCCTCCTGCTCCTCCTCGCCCAGCGCCTCCCTCCCTCCCTTCCCGCCAGCCTCCGGGGCCCATTGGATGAGAAGGGATCCCCTGCGCTCCCTGGAGATGCTGCCCAGGGTCCTGTCCCACTTGTGCTGCTCTGTCTGCAATTCCCTTGTGCCTTCCTGCCCGGATKTCCTGGTGGGCCAAAGGAGCTGGGACTCCATGAGGATTAGGTGTCCGCAGAGGGAGGCGAGGGCAGCTCCCGGGCGGGAGGAGGGCTGCGGGATGCAGCGTCCCGCTTGCTGGAGGCACTCGGAGAGGCTCCGGGATGCATTTCTRCATGCAGGACAGCGTTTCCCACCTGCAAGGAGACACCAGGGAAAGGGGAGCTGGAGGCAGGCAAATTGCAGGGGCTCTAATGGCCCCAAGTGGGCTCTGAGCTGGAGTGGGGCTGGGCTCACCCGTGGGTGCGAGGGTCCCGTGAGGCTGCCACCAGCACAGGGCAGAGGGACCCCTGCTTACCCCGTACCCTTCCTCAGACCCACACTGAGCTGCTCCCGTGGGGCGACCCAGCAGCTGTGACACTATCATGGGTGCCAGGAGAAAACTCTGGGGTRGAGCTTGTAAGATTTGGGTTTCTTATCCACACAGCTCGGTGGCGGTTCAAGGGAGTTAGTCCAGGCTTGGGAAGGCTGCATGGACCTCAGAGCCCTTCCTCATTCAAGATGCAGTAAAATCCCCAGCTCCCAGCAGTCTGTTTTGGAACAGGCTGCCCAGGGAGGTTGTGGATCTGCAGATYTCCCAAAGGCGCCTGGCTGCCACCCTGTGCCCCGTGCTCTGGGTGTCCCTGCTGGAGCAGGGGGGTAGGAATRGATGGTCTCTAGAGGGTGGGATCTAGATCATCTCTAGAGGTCCCTTCCAACCTCAACCATTCTCTGATTCYCCCAGTTTCTGGTGGGTCYCTTGAGCAAGGGGAATCAGCTGGAGATATGGGGGAGAAAGAAGCCAATGAAGACCTATTACCCAAATATTTGCCTTTAAATAAGTTTTGCAGCCCACACTGATTTGGGCACTTAGTGCTGGGGACATCTGGACATCTGGTGACACTTCATCCATAAAGGCAGCGTTGGGGGAGTTCCCTGGTGCACCGATCTGCTTGATCCCATTCCTGTGGTTTGCCAGGTCCCTCTTGTGCAGTCCATGTGCCCTTGCTGAGAATGAAATTACAGAAAAAAAAGAGTCCTTCCCCCAAAGGACTTTATGGTGACTTAATTCCTCGAAGTGTTAAAGAAGATCTCATGGTAGTGTGTCATTTTCCTTCTTCATTTTTTGAAGTGATATTATTATATTATTGTTTGGAGCTCTTGGCTCTGTAGCCTGCTTTGGCAGCACAGCACATGGGGCATATGCTTGTGCAAAATTAATTTAACTTTGAGTAATTTAAAATGTATCTCACTGGTTCCATTGTTTTAATCTGCTCTGCTGGAAGGACAGATGTTGCTCATGAAATTCAAATTTCAAGCTCTTCCAGAAACAGTGGCTTTGCGGTATAGGTCAAATGTTTAGTCTTAGGCTACATGTTTTTTAAGCACCAGTGTACATTTGGCAAAGAAGGGTCCCTTCTGTTTAGAAGCAAAACTGTAAAATATCTAGAGCAGCTCAATTAGCCACGTTATTAGTTAGCAGTTCACCGATGTGTGTTGGCTGGTGGAGCCCCTACTTGGCCTTGGATGCCCAAGAGCCTCATCCRAGTGCCCCGGGTGGGCTCAGCCCTGGAGCTCTGCACCTCGGAGCGTCCCCAGCACGTGTCTGCCTCGCCATTCCCGAAATGTCCCTGTGGGATGTGGAACAAAACGTGCAAGAGTTTGGCAGTGGGCTTCCCCRCATCACAAGGGAGTGAGTGGAGCATCCCCTGCCCAGCTCTTCCACAGCAGGGTTGTTTCGGCCACGCATTTAGAGGAATTTCACAGAAAATGCGTGTGACAGTGTTAGCTGTGCGATTGCTCACCCCAGCTTCATCCYGATGTATTTTCCTAAAAAAATTCCCTCTGGAAATCCCATCCTTACGTGATGAGGGGAGACAAATGACACTCTGYTGTGGACATTTTGTGCGCTGCTCTTGCCCTGACATTTTCCTTTTCTCTTCAGAGCCAGCAAATAGGAGCATATCAAACCACAAAGTACAGCCYGGAGAGAATTAGTTTTCCTTTTTTAATTACAAAGTGCCTGGAAACCAGCAGGAGAGATTTACAAGCTTTATAAAAGAGTCATTTTGCCATCCACACAGTGCTACAGGGGACTGGAAATTTTTATTGCTACATGCTTCGTTTCAGTATTTTAAGGGTTTTTCTGCCTTCTCTTTGCTGCCTGCGATCCTCTCAAGTTTGGCAGGCCCGATTTCTCTTTCTGGAGTCATTAATAATGGAAGGAAACCACATTAACAACAGCAGCAACAGCCAGACAGGAGCCAAGAAGCTCCTTTTGCTCTTTAATATGCTGCACGAGTACCTTTAAATGCTTTGTACRAAGTATTCTAGTTTTTCTTGCCCTTTCCTTTGATCTTTTTTGATTTCTTTTTCCCAGAAACAAATGCTTGACCTTGTCTTTTGCTAAAGAGAAGAAAAATTACGCCCAAGTTAAAATTCACAGAGATTCCAACCCCCTATCCAGCAACCTGCAGTAGCATTTTAGGGGCAAACACACCTTGAGAGAAACCTTGGGAGAAAATACAGAGGAGAAATGTTAACAGAGATTTCAGGGCATTTCATCTGCAAGGCCCAGGGGGTTCAGTGACTAAGCAGCCTCTTTGCCAGATGCTTTTGGTAGCTGCAGGCTGCCCAAGTGACTACCCAAACGCAGGCAAAGAGGTAGAAGAAGAAAGCAGGTAACATCAGGCACGGAGCAGCCCAATCCTGCCTTATTCCCCCCCCCAAAAAGCCTCAGGAGGATGAGGAGGATTTCACTGTGTTTAAAAAGTCCTTTTCAGCATTTAACAAGACTTTTTCAGCATCTGAAGTGGGAAGCGGCCAAAATCCTGCGCTTTGTCGGTGGTTTCTTCCTAGCTTTTAACTTTTTGGCAAGGGCACRGTACAAGGTGTCCTTTATCTTATCCCAAACTGATCGATGTTTCCAAGAGGAGTGATTATGGGACATCCTGGTTTGTCTGCATTCCTCCGCTTTTTGAGCTATCCGTAGTCTCYGAGTCTCTGTGGTTTCAGGTTTGTGGTTTTGGGGTATTAGGAAAAAAGGAGGGAAAAAAAGAATGAAGAGAAATGCAGCTTTCAAAAGCACAGAAATGTGTATCTGGGGGGGCTTAGTATAAGCAGAAGTGGAATAAATTTTAATAGATGAGAGATATAGCTCATATGCTGCCAATAACACCCAAAAACAGCTTTACCCCAGCAAGTACCCAGTGCACCAGTCAGCACTGGTGTGATAAACATGAAAACAYACCCAAACTCTCCAAAATGAGAGGGATATGGCTGCAAAAACCTCTGGAAATGAAGGTCTTCCCGGGGACAAGGGAAGGCATTAATGCAGCCGTGGGTCACGTTTGCTGAGGCTGGCGGGGATCTCCAGCCTCCTGCAGTCCCTGTGGGTCTCTGGGGACCTTGGAGACGTGGTGCTTAATGGCACAAGCAGACAGTGTCTCCCAGAAAGCTGCACAAGTGTCACTTYCCAGAACTTCCCAAGTTCTGTAGCCCAGCTCTAAAATATCAGAAAGGTTTAAAGAATATCAGGAGTCACCCAGGAGAATATCAGAATCTAGCTTTGTTTGACCTAAAGCTTTCCATTAATTTAAACATAATTTGCTAAACATTTTCAGAGTTCTCCTCCTCCAGGACAGATGGTGAACCCCCCTCATGGGCCTTTGGGTAGATCCCAAAAGGGATCTTGGGATTTGGGTAGATCCCAAAGGCCCATGAGAGGGGGTCACCATATGTCCTGTCCCGTCTTGTCTTTTATTTTGTAGTTCAGTCTTTGAACACCCCAACTCAGGAAATGGGAGACTCAGTTCAAGCACGGGCACTTCTTTGGGATGGAGATGTGAGATGGAGGAGAGTAACTGGATACCTGTTTTCTTCACCTGAAAAATTAACCTCAAAAGACAAGGTAGGTTTTTATTTCAGAAAAGAAAAACAAAGTTACACCAAGTTAAAAAAAAAAAAAATAAATTTCAATATTTCAATTAAATAAATTATTTATGTTCCAGTTTAGCTATGATATCAGAAGGTACGTTGCTGATATAACCCTTCAGCTGACATGAATGCATCTTTGGAAGAATAAAATCTGACATTGTTATGTGTTGCCTGGGGATTGTCTCTATGAAAGTGGGTCTCCAGAAAGGGGCTGCAGTGTTGCACCATATAAAGGAAAGATAAGGAAGCAGCTCTTATTATCACTTTTAGGAACTTATTTAAGCATTTTCCAGGATACTCCTAGTGCTGGTCATGGCACTTTGTATATTCATTATTAAGAGTATAATGATTTGCAAATGCAGAATTCATCAAAGTATGCAGCATGAAATAAGTCTCAAAAAGGGGCAAATACACAAATGAATCCTTGTTTTCCCTCTTCTCCCTGTAATTTGCCATTTCCCCTCCTCGTTTCCAATGTAGCACAAGGTTTTGTCATGACCAATACCAGGATGTTGAGGAGAATGACCATACCTCTCCTTTCTAATTGTGCCAATGCAGGAGGAGAGATATGCTCAGATTGGGGTCAAGAACTTCATTGCAATTAAGCTAGACCTATAATTAAGCCAGGCAATAATTAAGCATGATTAAGCTGGTTTAAATGGACCATTTAAGTATCTTCACCATAGTCTCAATTGCTCTTTTTATGTCAATCACCTAGTACCTCTCCAGTGCATTCAGTGTAAATTTGGTGCAAAGAATTTCCTTCTATGTGCCCCGTTAGCACCTCTGTGTCCTGTCAGCACCTCTGTGTCCTYGCTTGGTCGGATGGAG